ACACACACACACACACACACACACACACACACACGATTTTTTTTTAAAGAATATAAAAGACTATTGTAGTTTTTGAGAGTTGTTTCATCAAGTAGTTGGGTTAGTTAAAAAAATTAATCAGACCTTCTAAGCCAGGCATGGTATCACGTGCCTTTAATCTTGGGAGGCAGAGGCAGACAGATCTCTGTTAGTTTAAGGCCAACCTAATCTACAGAGCAAGTTCCAGAATAGCCAGGACTACACAGAGAAACCCTGTCTCAAAAAAAAAAAAAAAAAAAAAAAAGACCTTCTCTTCTGGGTCTGAGTCTTCAGTAAAATAAAATCAAAGTGGGCCCCATTCCACCCCATCAGTGCTTCTCACCCCGGAAATGGGGTGGAGGCTGATATTGGGTCTTGAGGTAGGCTAAGAAGTGGAAACAGTTATAAATGTTAAAGTCAGACCACAGAAAACAGTCTACAATACACATTCGAAAACTAGCTATTTTCAGGAAAGCAGCCCACATAGCACCTCTTTGGTTTCTCTTGCTGTGAAGGTTCAGCTAAAAATAGCTCAGGCTAGTAACACAAGTGACGTCATGCGCCGTGGATGGGAAGAACGGGGAGGCAGCAGGTTTGGCTTTCTACTCTGGTCTGTTTTGAGACCATGTTTAATCTGCCCTCCCAATCAGACTATACTTAGGGTGATGAATAATTGATGATGGAAAGCTTCTCTTCAAAGAGCTCGGACTCAGCCAGAGTTCCTCTGTGACACAGGACATGAGGAGCTCCATTGTTCTCCAGTGAGTCTGATGAAAAATACTTACGACAAGAAAACACATAAATGCAGGTCTACCGGAATAGTCATAAAGGTATACAGCCAGGAGACACTTACTCAACAGGCTGGAGAGATGGCTCAACAGTTAAGAGCACTAGTTTCTCCCATTAAAAAGCAAACAAACAAACAAACCCCTCAGATTTAGCACTGACATGCTAGCTCCTTCCCTCAGGAACTGATTCCCTCTTCCGACCTCGGTGGGCACCAGGCATGCACATGGCACACATGCACACTTGTAGGCAAAACAGTCATAGACATGACAGAAGCTAAATAAATATTTTAGAAAAAGAGGAGGAAAAAAACATTTTTTCAAGAAAATATACAAAAACAGACAGGCAAGATGGTTCAGTGGGTAGAGGCACTTGCCGCCAAGTCTAACAGCCAGAGTTCAATCCCAGGGACCCTCATGGTGAAGGAGAGAACCAAATCTCACAAAATGTTTTCTGACCTATACATAAGTATCATGCCATGTGCATGTACACACACACACACACACACACACAAATACATACATTGTATTTTTAGTTATTTCCTTTTTCAAAATTATTTATTTTTTGTTTATGTGCATTAGTCTTTGCCTGCATGTATGTCTGTATGAGGGGGTGGGATCCCCTGGAACTAGAGTTACAGACAGTATTGAGCTACCATGTAGGTGCTGGGAATTGAACCTGGGTCCTTTGGAAGAGCAGTCTATACTCTTAACCACTGAGCCATCCCTCCAGCACTATTTCCTTTAAAATTAAAAAAAAAAAAAAGAAGAAGAAGAAGGGAAGGAGGGAGGGCAGGAAAAAAAAAAGAAAGAAAATTTAAAAAACTTGAAACTCTCACGTTTTATGGTATATGACCAAGAACATGCATTTTTTGAGAGACAGAAACTGTACGCTGGTCTACTGCACCCCAAATCCACAGCTGCCTCACCTACAGCACAAGTCAGAGGGCTGTATCCCAGGAGGGACCAGCTGTCAGCTCCCCACGACCTGCTTCCAAGACCAAGTTCCAGGTTAGCACATTAGCTCATTTAAGTGAGGACTCCCTCCTTGCACCCAGGCCCTATTACGGAAGCGGGCTCTACTCTGGACATGGTACCACTAAGAGCACTGAGGCCCTGGGTGACCTTGTCATGGCAAGGTCTTAAGACCTGGAACTAGTGTGCTCCATCATATCTCCCAATCGCTCTGCTCCTAACACAGAGAACACAGCACTGATCCTACCCCACCACCAAACACAGAGAACACAGCACTGATCCTACCCCACCACCAAACACAGAGAACACAGCACCGATCCTACCCCACTACCAAAGCTTGGACTCAGAAACATCCCCAAATACATGCATATATAGGCAGGAAAATGAAAATCTGAGAAAGTCACAAATATGTAGAAATCAAATAACATGTACCGGGCTGGAGAGATGGCTCAGAGGTTAAGAGCACCGACTGCTCCTCCAGAGGTCCTGAGTTCAAGTCCCAGCAACCACATGGTAGCTCACAACCATCTGTAATGAGATCTGGTGCCCTCTTCTGTATACATAATAAATAAATAAATCTTTAAAAAAAAATAACATGTACCCTTAAATGACTGAGAAGTAAAAGAAATCATTAGAAAGAGAGCAATATGCTTAAGATCAATGAACTTTAAGATCTATAAAAATGTACAGGTTATTGCTAAAATACTTAGAAACTTATAGTCCTGTACCCATAGTTAAAAAGAAGCCCACCAGGCCAGGTGGCTATAATCCCAGCTACCAAGAAGCTACTCATGGGATTGAAGGTTCAACACCAGCCTTGGCTACAAGAATATGAGTTCTAGGCCAACATGGGAAAGTTTTTGTTTGGCAGTTTTTGTTGTTGTTTAGGTTTTTGTTTTTGTGTTTCAGGTTCTTTGTTTTTGTTTGGTTCGGTTTGGTTTTTTGAGACAGAGTTTCTCTGTGAATCCCTGGCTGTTCTGGAACTCACTCTGTAGACCAGGCCGGCCTCGGACTCAGAGATCCCCCACCTCTGCCTCACGAGTGTGGGGATAAAAGGTCTATGCGGCAGGGGCGCACACCTTTAATCCCAGCACAAGCTGGGAGGCAGAGCCAGGCGGATCTCTGTGAGTTCGAGGCCAGCCTGGTCTACAGAATGAGATCCAGGACAGGCACCAAAACTATACAGAGAAACCCTGTTTCAAAAAACAAAACAAACGAACAAAAAAAAGGTCTATGTCTCCACTGCCCAGCTCCAACATGGGAAACTTAATGAGACCCTCTCTCAACAAATGAGGCCTGGGCCCCACCCCTCGCCAATCCTGCAGAGGCCCTGGCTAACCAGCTCAGCTACCAGCCATGCCCAGATCCAGGGCTTTGAGTTGATTCACTAC